TGTGTGTGTGTGTGTGTGTGTGTGTGTGTCAAATCCCATTAGTCAACAGTGGAAAGTCAATGAGTACTTAGGAAGGAATGGAAAACCAAACAAAGTAGGGTCAGCCTCAGCAGACTAATATAATTAAGATTAAAATAATCCCTTTAACAGGATGTTGAAATGATTAATCACCGATCATTTCTCTACCTTTAAGTACAGTAGCCCAATGTTCCCACCACAATACACAAGTTGTCTTTTAGATTGAAGCCCAAACTACTCATGTTTTGTGTGAACAGCCCAGCTGGGGTCCTTTTAAAAAAAGGTGGGAATCTCTGTTGATCTTTCAGCGTTAGAGAAATACTTGGATGCTGTTGGAAGGGAAGACCCTTTCAAAACATACTGTGGCTGAAATCAATGCAGCCCACCTCAGAATCAATGAGCAGCTTGGCGTGAGTTCAGAAAGTCCAAACTAGAAATCCATCTGTAGTCCTTGGTTACAAAATAATACGGTTAAACACACTCTGCAGCCCCCACGACAGCCTCTCTCTCAGACACACATGCTGTGACATCACTCAACATCTGGATGCAAGGCTTGCCTAACACACGCTCCTCTTCCTCTGTCTCTCTTTCCAATGTGTCCTCCCCTCCCTGGTCCTCACACGTCTACCCCCGATAAACCCCCTTGCCTCTACTTCCTGTCTGGCTGTCTTTACGCCCCCGCTCTCAGAGATGAAAGAGAAGAACCCCTGGCACACGCCAGTGACCATCATCTTCACTGTGATTGGCGTCATAGCGATTGTTGCCTTGGTGACGGTAGCAGTTTTGCAGAACAGGCCTCTCCCCCAAAAGTACAAGGTATGGTATGGAGGAAAAGAACCAAGCGGCTGTAGCCTGCTCTTTGTGTGTGCATTACAGGGAGATAGGGAGATCAGACTCCACAAGCCTAATATGGTCTCTTTGTCACCGTGACCTCATACTGTAGCACTGGTTCTATAAACCCATCAGCAAATAAGGCCAGTGAATAATGATAAGGATATTGAATAAAAATTAATTGTGGTCCAACATGCAGGTCCAGTTTGACTCTCTTTGACAGTTATATAGTCTCTGTGCTGCTGCTGTTTTGTAATGTAGTAATGCCAAACTCTCAACTGTTAATATGTTAAATTTCAAAAAGTATCAGTTTTGGTATCATTTAGGCACCGGAACCGTTTTTAAAAGTACAGATTTATCACAGAAAATCCCCAAATGCTACCCAACCCTAGTCATCACTCTGATGGATATCATCAGCAGGGCTACAGGCCAATGAATCCTCCCATGTTGCACAGGCACAAACTTTAAAACACAGCTGGCACGATGTACACCATAACGCGGAGGATCATCTCCATCACGTCTTTACGCTTAACGTTTGATATTTATACCTAAAGCCCCAGCTCTGAGCTTGGTTTCCTGACTGTCTGTCTCTCTCTCAGTATGGAATCGTGCTGGACGCTGGATCCTCCCACACAGCTCTGTATATCTACGAGTGGCCGGCAGAGAAAGATAACAACACTGGCAGAGTTGAACAGACGCATTCCTGCAAAGTCAAAGGTAAAATCTGCTGCACACAATGTGTTACACAGACACACACATTCAGGTGTACAGCCCCTTAAGCTCACTGATGCAAATATTCAAGTGAGCTAACATTTATCACAAATATTTTGTAGTAAATGTGTTCATAGCATCTTCTAATGTCATTTGTGCAGTGGTGATTGTCATTTGAAGCAATGGTCGTGCGGTCCCGTCAAGTTTCAGCATTAAATCGCACTTTGAGAAAGAACAATACTTTGACTATATAAAAGGATACTTTGATCCTTTTCCCATCCACTTACATGGAGGAGGCAAGGTTTATGACCTGAACTGCAGCCAGCCACCAGGGGTGATGGAGACACTTTGGCTTCAGTTTTTGGGAGCTGTCATGTACTCCATCTGTGTATACACTCTATGGTTATCACAGACAAATTATTTCCGGACAGTGCGACAAATTTTCTGGATTTACGATGAAATAATTGCATCACAACTTCCTAAAGCTCAAGGTGACGTCCTCAAATGTCTTTATTTAGTTCAGCACCCTGGAACTTTCAGTTCTGAAAAAGCAGACAATCCTCACATTGGTGGAGCTGGATGATGATTAGTAGTTCAGCTTAAAGAATTATGTACAACTGATTATTAAAATCATTGCAGATGAATAAGTTAAATAATAGATACATAATCATTTCAGCTCTAATCTGTTTAGCTGTAAGTCTTAAAGGCCATTTGCAGCCACAGTCTATTTATTAAAAACTCATTAGCATCTAAAAATCTAAACCTGATGGATTATTGTATTAGAAAGTGAAATAATCTCTTTATTAATGATTTCCTTAGAATTTGTTTTGGCTCAATTATAAATTCATGACACTTGACAAATGATTTACCAACTACCAATTCAAAGCTGAATTAAAAAACACTTTTTTATCAAATAAGTCATCTTGTCTCTAAATAAACTCAAACTAAATAAAAAGATTTTATGGTCCAGATGTTGTTATGCAGTTTGTGCTGCTAATTATTTTTGCTTTTACGGTGCTGGTAGATGAGAATACAAAATAAACATGCAGAAAATGATATGACTACCCAAGAGAGTTGGCAAATTAATAATAATGTGTACAATAAAAACAACAATATTAATATCAGTATAAAAGCAAATGATGCAGGGTGATTCTATAGCCAATGTTTGCTGAGCCAAGCCAATCACTCGCTGGCTAATCAAACCCAGGAGAATAATTGGGTTTCACCTTGTGTGTTCTTCAGAACAATAACATTACCATACTTATTAATCATTAATATAGATAACATGACATCATAGTTTGTGCCTCAGCCGAAGAGGAACCTTCTCATGCAATTGATTGATTGATTTCTGCAGGCAGTAGGATCAACACTTGTTTTCAGAAATCATAGACTCACACAGGTTAGATCCAAAACATAAAGTAGGATCCAGTGCCTTCTTAAACAAAGGAAAATAATATCATGATAACGTTTTCACTAACCTCTCATTAGTTGCCAGTCCATGCAAGGCTAGCGTCTCTGACCTCTAAGGGCCTCATTATATTTCATGGTATCTAAATCAAAAATGAATGAAAGACACCTTCCTGTTTTTGTTCTTCGTGCAGGCCCAGGTATTTCCAGCTACGCGTCTGTTCCTAGGAAAGCCGGGGAGTCTCTGAGTGAGTGCATGCAGGAGGCCAGGCAGCGAGTCCCTGAAAAGAGACACAGCGAGACCCCTCTTTACCTGGGTGCTACTGCGGGGATGAGATTACTTAAGTACGGTTCACAACTGCAGTCATCCACATAATCAAACAAGGGCCACAATCGGCCTTTTCATGTGACACTAGTGCAACAGCATCCTTAGCCTCACCTCTGTAATGTGCTGCTACCCAGAGTATTTTCCACCCCTGTTCTGTGATTTATCCCCACGTGAACTTTACTGCCTGAGCGCTGAATGTGTTGCTGTCATGTGAATTATATACGATGCAGTCTATTTATTATTTATGTGCTGCTGTATTGATTGACTTGTGGATGTGAATCAATCTAATACATTTTTGTTGTGGGTCCATGCAGTTTAGAGAACAGCTTGGCGTCAGACAAGGTCTTTCAGGCTGTGGAGGAAGCGCTGCAAAAGTTCCCCTTTTCCTTTCAGGGAGCGAGAATCCTCAGCGGCCAGGAAGAGGGTGCCTTCGGATGGGTTACGGTCAACTACTTGGATGATCGCCTCAAACAGGTTTGCGCACACACACACACACACACACACACACACACACACACACACAGGATGTATGTCTCATGCAATTCTGACCACTTTAGATGTGCTTAGTCTGCCATGCACTGACTTTTTGTTTCTGCTGCAGAGCTTGGAAACCAGAGGCGCCCTCGACCTTGGTGGGGCCTCCACTCAAATTAGCTTTGTGTCAGACGATTTTGACGGCTCCGAGTCCCCCGACAACGGCGTCGCCTTCCGACTCTACGGTAATGACTACAACCTGTACACTCACAGCTTCCTGTGTTACGGGAAAGACCAAGCATTACGGATGACGCTGGCAAAACAGACTCAGGTAAACTTCAGACATACATTTCTCCAATTAAATCTGATTTTTTTTTTTATTTATTTATTTATTTTATTCAGTATTACATATACAAGAATAGAGTAATTCTGCATTAAATCATGACACGTCACAGAAACCAATGGAATTGAAATTTCAGGTGTCTTGGATCCCAATTTATGGGCTAACCAAGTTTAACCTTTATGGGCTGACTCAAAACATTCATGACAAACATACACAGAACAAAACAAAATGGAGCAGGAGAACATAGTTAGAGTTTGGCTTTAGGCTTCAACTTCCTCACTTCCTCCTACCGGAGCCAATAGGTAGTTGCTGGGGTGGTGGAGGGGCTGAATCTGCAGGAAGCAATACTGACGTAGGGAAGCAGAAGCATTGACTAGCAAAGGGAGGCATGGGAAATCTTTGCAGCTCAAATAGAGCACCACATTGGGAGGGTGTGCAGGATAGAGGATTGTGGAGGGTGAGGCATGTGACATGATTAGAACAGCGCAGCTCGAGTTGGCCGCCGTTTTGGAATGTGTATTTTTTACATCAACTGATATACAGTAATCACTCATAATGCTGTGATATTGGAGATTGCATACTGTTTGCATAAATATGGAGCACAGCTTTATTAAGATATGATAACAATTTCTCTAAAAGATATGACCAGTCAAAGTCACAAATTTCATTAGCCCATGTCTCCCTTAATTGGAATTGGGACAAATACAACTTGGGTTCCATTGGTTCTTACGTGATCAGCATAACAAATTTCATTAAGATCTGTGATGTGATAACCCAGAGATGATTTGACACAAAATGACCCAACACAGACATTAAATTCAATTAGCGTCTGCTCTGTATCTCACTCTCTCCCCTAGTCAGGTCCAGTATCCATATCAGATCCCTGTTTCAACCCTGGTTACATCGAGACAAAGAACTACTCCATCGTCTATGACAGCCCCTGCGTGTCCAACATGAAACCCCAGGGAGCTCCTGCCACCTTCACTCACACAGGGAAAGGAAACTTCTCTCAGTGCCAAGAAGTCGTCAAACGCAACTTCAACTTCAAACAGTGCAAATACAGCCAGTGCTCTTTCAATGGGGTCTTCCAGCCACGGTTGCAGGGGCCATTTGGGGTAGGGTAACACGGCTGTCAGTGTCTATTTATTCATATATCAGTGAGCGATGAGGCGCTGGCCCGGGTGCTGTCTGTGGGCACAGATCTGTATGTTGTGAAACCCCATGCACTGAACTGTGAATATTCTCCTGAAATTATCAGATGTATTTGAGAAATGTCAGAGTTTTTCCTGCCAGCCCCCTGGTAAAAGCTCTGGAGAATATCTGAGTAAGCCCATGGAAATACATCAGGAAAAAGGCCAGAGAAAGTCCACCCCCCCAATTGACTCAAGTGATTCCTGTTGTCATCTTCACCATGACTTCTCTTTCTGATTGTGAAAGTAGTGAGAGATGCTTTTTCACCAAAATCTAAACTGCTTATTTTATTTACCAAAGATTGATTTCTTCCTTCATTTTCCTTCTCCCTTGCTGTCTCACTCTAGGCCTTCTCTGCATACTACTTTGTGATGAACTTCCTCAATCTGACAGACACATCCATCCCTCTTGAAGCTGTCACTGAGAAGCTATCACACTACTGTGCTACCCCTTGGAACCAGGTTGGGAAATATTTATGCACAAATAGAGGAAAAGGCCAAGTTTCTCTGTTTTCACACCTTTTCTGTTTCCTGACTGACTGTGACCTTTTGACCTACGTGAACAGATAAAGCAGCAGCATCCAGGAGTGAAACTAAAATATCTGGCCGAGTATTGTTTCTCTGGCACGTACATCATCACCCTGCTGACAGAAGGATACAACTTCACATCACAGAACTACCCCAACATAAAATTCATCAAGAAGGTCAGTAGATCAGAGTCCACTCCTTTCCTGTGTCTCAAAGCACGGAGTCGTGACACCACCTGAGGTCATATCCTACTGACCAGTGTGTTTGTGTGTGTGTCTGAGTACAGTCTAGAGCAGTCAGTGATTTCTACTTAAGGCCTATTTCAAGAATCTTAGGTATAAGTAATATCGCTAATGGCCATACTGGACCAACAGATCCAAATTGTTCAAGTTATATTATAGGTGTTTCAAGCTAAATAATAACAGCAAAAAAACACAAAACTATAGATACCAGTAGAGAACATACCTCCATCGAGGGCCATCTTCAATGTAATATTCTTTTTCATCAAGAACTAATCCCTGCAATATTTGTGAAAATATCAAAAAGGCCCTTTCTCGCAATGTTAGAAAAAGTGAAAAGAAATGTACCAAACAGAAGACCGATGGTTTGATCCCCGGCTCCTATAGTCTGCATTCTGAAGCGTCCTAGGGCAAGATACTAAAACTCTAATTGTAGTGTATGAATGGTGTGTGACAGAATAAAGTGCTATACATGAACAAGTGCTATAGAAACACTCTATGAAGGTGTACATAAAAAAAGTGCTATATTGAATTGAATGAATCCTGTCCATTTACCATTTGTTATTGCTGCTGGTATTCAGGAGTCCCATGACCCTAAAACTTAAGCAGCTACATGTAACTCAGCTTTTGTGTATTTTATTATTTACATCAGTACTTTTCCTACAGTGACGTGTCAAAATGTCTCATTCTTTCATGAAAAAGAAGCATCACCGGATAGAGGGGCCGATTACTAAGGAAAGGATTTATTGGATGTAAATAAGGGTGGGTTTAGGATCTAGGTCGCGTTTAAACACATAGGTTAAACATTCAAAGGCTATTTCATTGCCTCTGTAAAGATAGTACATGGAAGAAGTCCTGCATAAGACTCATCCAGTAGAACAATGCCATGTAGCTGTGAGAGTGACATGGCATTTAGATATACCTATGAGAAATTTTCAACCTACATCTCACCTCGCAGTGAAGTCTTCATTTTCATCCTGGTAGCAGTGATGCCTGCCCCTGCACAATGGAAAATTAAACTTGTGATTGAATTGTTTAAATATAATTCAGGCCTGGATTACATGCCAGTTGATCGTCAGAAAAACAGTAAATGGTTGTGTCAAATATGGTAAAACATCAGTATGTATTTAATTATAAGTGTGTCCCCAACATTAGATTCATATAGATGAAGGCAGCAGATTAAAAACAAACTATATTGTGGTTGAAATGCCATATGAGTAAAAACATCTTGAAAAATGAAAATAAAAACTATAAAAACTACATAAACTCTTCACAACAGCTTCTCCGAACTCTACTGGAGGAATGAATGTCATTCGTCAAAATATACGATCCAAAAACCACCCATAAGTTTTCCGTAAGGTGGACATCTAGTGACTGTAAAGGCCATAGCATATGATTTACAAGACAATTTTCCTGTTTATCAGAGCGACCAGTTTTTTAAGATCCCTCTCCTTGTGTTCTGTTCAGATAAAAGGCAGTGACGCAGGCTGGACGCTGGGCTACATGTTGAACCTGACCAACATGATTCCAGCCGAGGCCCCTGACTCCCCGCCTCTGCCCCACGCTGGCTACGTCTCCATTGTCACTGTCATCGCAATACTGCTCTTCGTCCTCTTCATCCTCAGCCTGCGTCCCCTCTGGCCCCGGTGCTCCAAACAACCACAGATCATATAAAATATACACACACACACAAACATATATGATGTATGTTTGAGTAAAGGTGGTGAAGGGAACATGTGAGGGTTTGTGAGTGAGCTTATTTACCAATTTGTGAAAAAAAAGATTGTCAACTTTACACTTTGCAGCCTTTATGAGGATTTCGAAGGTCGACTACTGCTGCAGGACTGTTTGTCCTGCAGCTTCACACGGACTCAAGGACATTTCAGGAGGACAAATGTTTTCTCTCACGGTGGGGGGGTAAGCTCTGCTTCTCTGGTTGAAGGACGTTTACTGTGTTTCTGCGTGAATGCGGTTGTATGTGTGCGTTTGAATGTGTGCACCCACATCAGTCTGCATGTACAGTCTGTGTCTTTTAATTTTAATGTGAATATGATACTGTATAAATAAAACAACCCAAGTTTATATAAATTGTTTGTTTGGGATATTATATCATGTTTATTGTTGCTTGATTTATCTATACCTCATCCAGAAGGGTAATTTGGATTTCTATGAAAACTACACTGACACAGTTCTGCTAATCATTACAACCCATAAACATAACTTACAACTAAAACAGCAGCAAAATAATGAAAGACAAGTCATATCCTTATTTTGGCTGTTGTGCCAATAAATAAATACTAAAGGCATAAAAACATCCGCCACCATATTATTTACATTCAGTTTAGCATCAAGACAAGCTGTATCAAAAACTACTTTGTTCTACTCCATGTTTTCTCAGCCTTAGTTGTCACAATGACATATTCTTGCACCTTAATTGTATTTTTCAATAACACAGTTTTGTATATAACATGAAAGTGCTGCTCTCTAGTGGCCACAGGGAACATGTTGCAGTATAAACACCACAATGAACTTTGTAAACATGCCATCTGGAGCTTTCAACCAGAAAAAATAAATGTATTCCTCCTTGCCCTTATTTAATCATTTACTCTGAATTCTTCCATATAATGTACAATACCCAAAGTGATGGTGTGCCTCGTTCTGCCTGAACTGCAAGACTGTTAAGAAGGCAAATTTCCTATGCAAATAGATTATAGATTATACAATGTGCAAAAAGGGAGTGTGAAATCCTGTGCTGTGCTGGAATTATGGCTTCAAGATTTAAGACTTTGGCAGGAAGTGGAAACTTGTGGGGTTTCCCTCCGTTCAGGGGCCCAGCCCTTCCTCTGTGTCACAGATCCAGCTCTTATCTGCAGGGAATGGGAGCTACAGGGGAGAACAAGAAAACAACGCCATCCTGATTATCTGTGGGTGGTTCTTGCTGCTACCCAAATGCGTGTTGATGTTGGCAACAGCAGAAAGCAATCGCTTTTTAAGCAATTAAATGACACAAGCATGGCCAGAGTGCCCATAAAGATAGAGGTCATTGCCAGAATATCCTGAGTAGCTGAATATGTGGCAATAGTTCATACACAAGTTCCTTAAAAACAGTCTGTCATCTCAGTTTTCTGTTATCAGGCGATCCTGTGGTGTAAGACTTGCTGTGTTGCCGTAAAGATGCAGCCTGCTCGGACACAGATGAGATGGCCGGTAGGCTATCTGTCGCATGATCCAAGACGTCACTTAGCTGGTCCCGCTCGATGATGTTGGTCGTCTCTGAGTCCAGCTCCCGAACACTCTCTTGGTAGAACTTCTGTCGGAGGCGTCTCATCTGGGGGAGCTCACAGCACGTCTCCAGCACCACTAGGGCACACACCAAGCCCAGCAGCAAGTAGACTGGGGGGGCGCACACACACACACACACACACACACACACACACACACANACACACACACACACACACACACACACACACACACACACACACAAACACAATGGCAGCATGTGACTGATAAGATCTTAAGGTTTGGTCTATTACTAATGGGTGCGGTGGCAAACAGTCATGGCTTTGTTTAAACGTGTCAATCAGGGAAGTCAAAATGGTAAAATAGCATGAACTAATATGAAAATATGTACCTAACCTTTTCAAAAAGTCATACATTGTAAGAAAAATACTGTTGAGATAAAATGATGTGACTAAGTTGGGCAGCTGGAGCTCAGGAGGAAGAGCGGGTTTTCCACTAACCACAGGGTTGACAGTTCGATCCCAACCTGAGGTATTTATAAATAAGTAATTTCTTAAACAATCAAATGGGTGCAGTGTATTAAATAAATATAAAAAGAAATTGATGTACGCCCCGAAATATTTTTGTTTTATTGTGAAGGGTTCGTTGCAGGAACAGGAAGTAGTGTGAGGGTTTCAGCGTAATACTGCTCTCTCATTGGCTGGCAGAAAATCAGAGGCGCGCAGAGACAGGAAGTAGAGTTAGAGCGCAATTTGGACGCTTGACTCACTAATTAGTCCGGGTCAAGTTTGAGCAAACAGATGTGAGGTAATTTTTTTAGTGGTAAAACATTTTCCTGCACATCATCTGTGAGAAACTGGAGAAAGTTTCTACCCGCACTTGTCGTAAAGTCGCGTTTGTAGCTAATGTTTTTAGCTTCAGGTGCGTGTTAGCTCATTAGCACAGTGTTTATTTTGTTAGCATCAGTTAGCAAAGCCAGTGGACTCTTAGCCATTGCATAGCTAACGCAAGGAGAGAAACCGTGAGGATTTAACAGACTGAGAAGCTACAATGCTAACAGCTAACACCCAGGGCTTCCTTGACCAGCAGGCGGGAGAGGAAACGTCATCTCGCCCTCTTGTCGCCGACAGACATCGAACACGCAACTGGACCAAGGTACCTCACTTTTATTTGACTGCTCTGAGAGTGGAACTAGTTTTGCGGCCTCGCTGCACCGAAGGTCAAATCAGGTTTTTGTTTTTAATGACATCATGTGTGTCTGTGTGTTTATACAAGGGAGGGATCACATGAAAGCCAATCATACTGGGAGCCTGATTCAGGTTCATGTCTTATTTCCATTCAAGGGGATTATCAGTCACTCAAGGAAACAATTAAACGTAGGTGTTTGTTGACATAGTGACACATTTCTCTCCTGACAGATTTGGTTCAGTAAGTGTTTGCTATGATATTTAAGAGTCATATACCATTAACAGTGAAGGTACAGTTCATTAAAGGTGAAAACAGGATCTCAGGACAGTGAAAGCGTGTTGGTCAAAGAGAAACAAGGTAACCACACCTTCAACATTAATTATTAGAGATTAGGCTAAATAGATTAAAGAACTCAGGGCCCTTCCCTGACTAAAATCGGGATACTTTTAAAAGATTTTTATATACGTATGGTTTTTATTTTATGTCATTTAAAGGATCCTCTGACTTTTCCTCCAGCACCACCATTAAGTCAAAATTGCAAGATGGCAGTGGGTGGTTTTTTTTTGCTTGCTTTCTGGATGTTAGGAGTAAGTGGAGACGCTCCCATCCAATTTGATTTATAGTCTATGGTTTGGATTCACTTTTCTACAGAATGGGACAATTCACCAATGCTCTGCCTCATGAAACCTGTTCTAGACCAGGGCTACAATAAAACTGCAGCAATAGCCAGTTGTCCGTAATTGCTCAATATTTTTACTTTTGGAGATAAAAGTCTTCCGCCTGACAGCAGTGGCAGTATATTCAGCCATGGACTCACCTGTAATAGTCAGCCTGTAGAGCTGTGGGTGTGGGTTGGCTTCTTTACTGTGAGTCTCTCCAGGGACATAATCTCCAAGGCCAATGGTAGTCAGAGAGATGAAACAGAAATACAGAGCCTCCAGAAAGTTCCAGTCTTCCTCCAGGCCGATGAAGATCCACGCCGGGATGATGAGGAACAGCAGAGTCATGAAGATAGTGAGGCAGGTGGCGTGGATGAAGGCAAGCTTCGATTTAGACATGGCCCATCGGCGGTGGAAATAGGACACCGGACGTCGCGTCACCACGGCCATGATCCTCTGCACCAAGGCAGAGAGGAAGAAGAGGGTGAAGGGGATGCCAAAGACGGAGTAGAAGATACAGAAGGCCTTCCCTTCATCTGAGAGAGGAACATTGTGGCCATAACCTGAAAACGGAAACAAAAATGCAGAACATACTTAATTATAGCGGTGAGATTCTTGCAGGGGCCATTTAGACTCTGTGAATCTTTACAACGAGAAAGAAAGAAAGAGCAGAACGTCTTTTCTCTCCAAGACTAGACCTGTAGATAACATGCTAAATAAATAAGTGAATTATTCATTGAGTTTTAATCTAAATTTTTTATGAAGTTAACCTATGTATGTTTACACAACAGGGTGCTGAATGGTGAGTGGGGTCTATGTGGATTTAAATGAGTTTCTCTCCGTAGAACTAACAGTTACACAACCACATGGGTTAATGGAGCTCCAGGGATTTTAATTCTCATTAAACCCACAATCATCCCCCCACCCAACATTTCCAAACCTGCATCTATTTACTGAATACGAGTTGCAGCAACAACTTAAGCCTCACAAGATGTTCTTAAAGTAAATATAAACTTTTAAACACCCTAAAAGATAACTATGTAAACAATGCACTTTCTGTCCTTGACTGGTGACCCACAAATAATTGTATTCTCGCTGACTGCTTTCCATGATAGAAAATAGTACAGCAACATAATAGTGTAACCTCAGTCTTCATATCAAATTGTTCATTTATGGAAAACAAATAGTTTAGTAATTCTTTATAAAATGTTAGTGTTGATCGTTATTATTTATTTTTATTAATATTTAATACATTTTAATATTAATTTATTTAACTTTAGTGACCTTTTACTATCTTAGTACAATTTATTTTATGTACTTCTTTATGATTGTAATTTGTTGCTTTTACCATTTGTTTTTACTACTTATTCATTTGTCCTTTCACTGCAGGAGGACACTGTTGATGGAAACAGAGTTCCAACAACATACTTATTTGACTAACTCAGACAGCAAAGTCTCTTATTAGATCGAGTCTCAAATACACTTTTAAGGACATTTTGCACAAAATGAGGACTGTCCCCTATCACTTTCATTGAAAGCACTAAAGCAAACTTTTGATAGTCACTTTGAAAAGGAGGAATGATTACAGCAATTAAAAGCTGTTTCAGTGGTCATAGGAAAATGTATATTGCCTTTATGTAGACTTAAAAAAACAATGACATAAGTAGACTTTGGACAGTAATTCACACAGTTATTCAAATATGTGTACTAATATACTGTAACCCACTATAAATATGTGTTCAGTTGAGTTTACACTGTAATGAAAAGTACAATAATGAAAGGACATTAAACAGATTTACTATAATTATTTTTAATATATATTATGTAAATAAACAGATTTTTTTACACAGGTTGGTGTGCCTGAAGGCACCATGATTCAGCTTTGCTTTTCAAGGACAAATGGCGACCTCCCGTCTGGATCAGTCCTGTTGAAAACAGTCACAATACTTATTAATATAATATTTAACATTTAGTTATATGAGTATGACTTAGAGGGTTTGTATTCCACAAGCATGATGTCAAATCTAATAAAGGTTTTATGTGTATTTATAAAAATGCATTTTTTAATATAAGCTGAAATCCCAGTTTTCAATCATTCAATATCTGATATACATGTAAACAACTTTGAACATTGACTGCATGTGAGTGATTAATTTCAGATGCAAGCTGTGAAAACAAACAAATAATATTATAATACTAAAGCATTTCAAACTTTGTTTTAATGGATATGGTAAAATGACAGTCAGAAAGGAGAGGAAATAACTTTTGTTAATAAACCATTAGAGAATCAAAAATTCAGTGCATAGACTTGCCTGTGTTCCAGTGCAAACTCCATTGTTAAATACAGCCGGATCTGAATTTTTTTGTTCTTTCATTGAAGTTGATGTGTCAGGGTCAGAAAGCTGTAAAAGAACAGTAAGAAAATAAGTGATACATGACTAAGTGGTCTCCTCCTGTAATAAATGATTTTACATCCTGAGGTGGTGGGAAGTTCACCAAACCAAATGAATACGACTCAACAAGTACTACAATGATCTTAGGCAGGAGTAATTCACAATATGAATCTATCTGTAACAATGTAAATGTTACTATAACAGCATCAGTTTGAAGATACAAATAAACTAATCTATTGAACAACAGATTTAATTTATATTGATGTGGTAAATTACCTGTTCAACAGACTTCAGCGTCAGAAAGTCTCTGTCTTAGTAGTTTTCCATCCTGGAGACAACACGGTGTTTATCTCAGATGAAGTCTGTCGTTCATTTGGTTTGTCGATGGTCAATTTAGAAGTATTTTCCTCCATTCAACGTCTTTTCTGTTCGCAAAATTTCTACAGACAACAACCTCCTGTTCCCACTTCTTCTTCTACGTATTTTTACGGGCGCAGTTCCTCATGCAGCTTCTTCAGTAAACAAACGCACACTCACAGTCGATTCATCCCAACTCCAGACCAGCTTGTGGCGGTAATGCACCAAACCGAGCGCCAAAAAAGCCAGAAGAGGCAGTAAACACATGCGAAACTTAGCCTCAGACCACTTTGTCCTTTTAGGCGATCTGTAGCAATATGACGATCCAACATGGTGCTGCTGCGACAGGCTTATTCTATTGAAATACAAATGCTACAGTTTTTATTTTAGGCTCACTATAGAGTTAATACAACTTAGATATGAGGATTATATCATGTTTTTTTGCAAAGAGAGCCTTAGAAAACCTCAGATATCTTACACATTGCTACTTAAACGGCTAATGAGCTGTAAATGATCCATGAAGTATAAATCAACTCAGAAATGTTATTTTGGCGTTTGACCTTCACTGTGGCGAATGATTTCTCATTGATGTGCTCACATTAAATTCAAGTTTAAGACATATCGATGTTTTATATAGAGAGGAAATGAAAAGTAAGTGACATCACACCTTGTTTGGAGACAGAAAGTTAGACGGTTGAAACTCCTATTGCACATACTTTCAGTGAGGAGAAAACTTTTTTCAAGGTTAAACTTTTCAAACCAAAAAGAGTGGATTCTAGAGAATTAACTGAAAGATGTTTATTGAACTTTTTTGTCGAAAAGAAAACATTGCTGGGATATAAAATAAAGTGTGGGGAGGGGATCTTGTCCTTGAGCCTTTTGTTACAATGAAAAATAAAAACGCTTTACAAAGGTTGCCTTCATAACGAGCTACTAAAAGAACTGGTTAAACTACAGCTTCCAGCCCACAGTCATCACACTGCAGTTTCTAAGTGTTGGAGCCCCTCACCTGTGTCCCGGCCTCACCTGTTGTGGTCAGCACGGTGCTGGTGAAGAACAGCGAGGATACGAAGTCCCAGTTGCGGTCGCTGTCGTTACCCAGCACCGAGACGCCATAGTTGCTGGCTTCCAGCGCTCGGGTCAGCAGCTCCTCCAGGCGCGCGTCGGACACGCAGGTGTTGTTGCGGAGGAAGTCCTTGCGGGCCTCCTGCAGCTGCTCCCGGAGCTCCTGCTCGTAGGGCAGCTCGATGGTGGAGAAGATCCCGGCGCCGACGATCAGATAGAAAGTGTAGCCGGTAACCAGCAGCGCAAAATTCAGCGCAGAGCGGTGTCGCTCCAAGAACCTGGAGCACCAGCCTCCAACATTGGAGGGCAACACCATGTCTCCAGTGATGGTTGACACCTGAAGTATCAATGACTTACTCTCACACAACTTTCTCTTAAGTGATGGCTGTTCTCTCTCTGTCCCATGGATGGACTCCTCTTCCTCATTCTTCATGTGCCATTGGAAACGGGTGGTGACGTCGGTCATTCACTGCGCCAGGTAGTGTGTGTGTATGTGTATGTGCGTGTGAATGTGCCTTTGGCTGAAAACCCGTGATTTGGACAGAAGCTGTTTGGGATAGAACACCTGGTTCTGATGTTGATCACAGTCCCTGGAAATAGATGCGAGACGATATATAGTCCCACAATGTGACTATTGCAACACGTGTGTGTATTAGTGTGTATAAATGTAGCTGTGTGCGCGAGCTGCAGTTTCCAACAGGTTCAACAGGTTTGGTGTTTTGAGTCACAACAAAGGAAGCTATTTACTCTGCTGGAGTTTCAGGGTCGGATTTCTTGGGAGACACAGATTTATCCCTTTAAAATCTAAACCATAAATAAGTAATGATAATACAGAAAAACCACAAAAAGTAAACACAAGCATGGCTTTTAAAGTAATGTTGACCCTTCTGTTAGTATGGAAATTATTAATATTAATAATAGTTGTAGTGGTAGGAAAATGAGTTATCTAATTTATTGTTGCTGATATATTAGCCTGTTGCATTGTGTCATCATTATTATGACCATTTCTGCTGTTATTAATTGGTTCTGCTATCATTAATAATAATATTACATTTATAGGTATGAACATTATTGTTGTTGGTATAACAATTAGTCTGTCAAAGCTTAAATACAACAGTTACCTCAGTTGCTCTATCCAAAGGTGTGCAGTAACTAGGGGCATTTTCTCAAATACTGTACTGTACCGAAGTAGCCTATTAAGTAGTGAAAATGAGCTTCACCTTTAAGTACACTTATGAGGACACCTCAAATGCTTTGTTTCCCATACATCACTTGTCATGATTGCCTCCACCACTAGAAGCCGCTAGAGACCACAGTTACACAATCACACTGTACTGGTGTCTTCAGAAAAGAAACAATTGGATTAAAAATATTTTATTGATAAATTACCAGACATCAGCTCTATTTACTTCACCAGTTTATCCTCACATATCTCCTTTTCATATTGAGTATCTGGCAATAAATAATTATTTACAACCTTAAGGAAAGCACAAATTAAAAGCAATAAGAAGTTACTGTCATTATTAGCCGCTGAATGAGACAGTCTGAAATAATGGCCGTTGCATAAAAAGCTGATAGATGATGTCATTAGCTGATAGGCTTGGCTGGGTTTGGTGCATCCTCCCATTCTCAGTTGAAATAAGATTTTCTGAAATTAATGTGGGTTGTTGCAGAGTTTCCCCGAATATCCCAGCAAATATATTTCAGTTATCTGAGGGAAAAAAAGAGACAACATAAGGGCATCAGAAGTCATCTTATATGATAGGAATGGACGACAAATCAGTGTGGACAGTCACTATTATTAATAGTGACTGTCCACACTGATTAAAAGGTATTCAAGTAAAAGATCTGAGTACTTTTCCTCCACCACTGATCAGTCCACAGGAGAAATGTTAAATGTCTCACCTCTGCACTCGTATCTGAGGTCCGAGAAAAGGACGTGTTCCTGTGAGAAGACGAACAGTCCCAGTCTGCCTCCAGCCAGGGTGTGGTCATACACTGCCCCCGAGTCGGTCAAAATCTCCCTGCCCTCATACACCACCACCCTGCATTAGGGGACACAACACAGTCAGCAAGACAAGTGCACGTGGCAAGTTAGAATCTTTTTCAGACCCCTGAAAGTGTTAAACATTGTTTTCCATTTTTTTCACAGCCAATACTGCTGGTTTAATTAACTCCTGCTGTCTCTGTCTCAACACAGCTACAGCTAATAAAGCTTATAATGGATGTATTAAATTCACAGTAACTGTGGGAATGATCCAGCGCTGACAGTATTCAACAGCACTGAGGCTGTGGGGACCCTCAAATAAAATTCTACTTCGAGCTCCATAAAGGTTTGTGAGGACATGACGTCAAATGGAGATACAATTAAAGCACTCATAATGGATCTTTGTAGCACCTATCAGATATATTGATGTGTGCGCGTCCTTCACAATCAAAGAGCTTCTTTTCAGTCTCACATTCAAGAATCATGCAGTCATACAGAGCAACTGTTCAGTTCCCAGAATGCAGCATAGCTAATGCTTGCGTCTTCAAAGATGGCCTTCTTTAAAGGTACCGGAACAACTGCACTTGGCACACAACAGTGTTGTTATCACCCCCCTTCACTTTTTCTCAGCTTGAAAACAGAGCTTCAGCCATGGTGTTGTTCTCTAAATCCACACACACATAAACAGCATAGAGCACAGAAAACTTATTGCTTGGAGGCCTTTTTTTTCAAAGTCCATTAGTGGGAGGTGCAACTAAGCAGAAGTAGATGTGACAGGTTGAGGAGAACTGTGTACAACAAAGAGAGTGAATCACACGGTTATCATAAAATAACTCTGGGAGATTGATGATATCCCTGGGCATAAGGACATCTGAGGATGAATTATTCCTTCAAGGGTGATACTGAATGTGATTTTCACAGATTTAAGAGGTTACTCAGCAGATTGTTGCCCCATGAAAACCCACATAGCCTGAGCTGGTATTGACTGAGCCCCAAATGTGTTATTAAGAGAAAAAGGACACTTTTTTGTATGTTTTTTTCCCCCCCTATTTGGTACAAATCTCATTTTACCTTTCATTCAGCAATTTGTTTTGTTTACTTCATTAAATAATGAAAATCTACCTGCAGTTAAACCTGTGTTGTCGGCACAATTAATTTAATAAAAGCAAGATTAATTTATCTAGTCACTCAATTAAGTTAATTTACCTTAATACTGCTAATGCTAATCAAGCTGCTGATCATCCAGTGATAGAAATGACACCTTCTACCATATGATGATGTTATTGTGTCTTTGTACCTGATGAACCCAGTCTTGGGTCTGTGGATAAGGTGCATGCGGTAGGCCGTGAAGTCCTTCCAGCCAGTTTTATTTGGGTCATGCCACAGTGTTCTGACCTGAAACAGACCAATGCAGATGTCAGAGGGGGCAAGAATATTGTCTTAAGTATCTGATGTGTCAGTCTAACAAAGGATGATGTGTTCGGGGTCATTTAAGGAAGGGCCTGCCTCTTCTTAAATTAACTTTATGTGGTTTATGACGAACAGAATGCAGTAGAAAAAGGGACAGAATTGCCTGGTTTCTGGTATTTCTGGTGTGCCAGAGGGCATTGCGGAGATACTCCCCTGGTCCTGTGGTGGAATTGACCAGTTTAATGGAGACTCCTGCTGTGCCGAAAGCTTTGGATGGCTTTTTCTCCCAGTAGGCCTGAGAAACCTGCTCCCATAGAAAGAGAGAACGTGGAGGATAAAGGAGTGTGACGGTTAAGTTGATGTATATACAGAAGTAGACAGAGCAAAGTGTGATATTACAAGTGTAGATTGAAGGGACAGGAGAGGTCGGCATTCAAGCCTCACCTGTTTCCACATGACAACATAGAAGCGTTGACTGGACTGGTAGGCGAACACAATGCCTGCGTAGTCATCGTCTCGGTTGGTGTTCACATAAAACGTTACGCTGAAGTCCACAGCACTGAACTTGTCATATCCTGTAACCAAGGGGACATTTTTTTACACTCCATCATTATTCTTGGAATGGGTTTCGATTTTTCTGCAATCATGAGCAATCTGACCTAAAGCGATGCCAGGGTCAGAGTTTGCTGTCTGCAGCAACTCTGTGCCCTGGCTGCGGATCACCCAGAAGGGGTCAGACTGCGTTGTGCCTTTCGGGTCCAACAAAACAACCTGAAACCTCCTGAAGTCTGTAGAACCAATGTCTTGGTTCAGTGGACACGGATCCAGCGAATCTGGAATACTGTCATTGTCAAAGTCGTCAAAACATGCTTCTCCACTGCCATCACCTGAGCGAGAAAGAGAGAGAAAGAGGAATAGAGAGTTTGAGTGTTGTGGTCGAAAAGAACTGGACGAAATAATGCAATAATAATCATTTGTATTATGAAATTAGAGGCGGTCTCAGTCCTGTTGATGGATTTTCAGTAGATTAGGTTCGACTTTCTGCAAGTGATGCCCTTTTATTTGTTTGATTTCCAGTTTGAAGACCCAAAACAACACTGACCATCCGAGTCCAGCTGATCCGTGTTGGGCACAAGTCGGCAGTTGTCCCGGTCGTCAGGGATACCATCGTTGTCATCGTCATGGTCGCAGGCATCTCCCCTCCCATCATTATCATGGTCGGCCTGATTGCTATTGGCGATGTAAGGACAGTTGTCTAGAGAGTTTTGGATGCCATCCTCATCAATGTCCTCGTTGTTGTCGCACATGTCCCCCACCAGGTCATTGTCAGAGTCAAGCTGCTCATACACACACACACACACACACACACACACAAACATATTGTAAATATATTGTAAATGCTTCTGAATATTGTATGTTTTTATTTGTGTGGGTTTTCAGGGACCTGCAGAGGGTTGTGTAGAAGGGGACAGTTGTCACACTGGTCTCCGACACCGTCCAGGTCTGTGTCCCTCTGGTCAGTGTTGTAGATTAAGGGACAGTTGTCGCGGTCATTCAGAACCTCTGAAGAAAGACATACATGCACACACTGCAGGTAAGATGCATTTCATGTGGCTTTTACCATTTTATCCCACATAAATAAAACACAGCAACCTATATAAATCTAAGCTGTGTTTGGGTAAATGTAATTGAATCCATATACAAAGAATGATTTAACAGTAGGCTAAAGACACTTTTTAAAATACACATCTTTATTATTATTTGGACATTCATTAGTTATTGTTTACATATAGGAACTTTATTCTTTTCCCCTACTGCTCTCCCCTTCTCTCTCCATCAATCTAAAGGCACTTTTATTGAGTTAGTTATTTAAAGTAGTTAACTGGCTCCAACTGATATTCAAAGGTGGATACACTAGATTAAAAAACAAGACTGCAGGGAACGAATTGGTTTTTCAGAAGAAAGAAGAAATAAGCTTAAGTTTTGGGTAATGTAATGTTCTTTTGTTAAATAGAGGAAAGGGTGCAACAAAACATTGGATAAGTATCTAAAAGTAAGTAATATGTTCCATGGTTCGGTGAGTAGCTCCTACCATCTCCATCTATGTCAATGCTGCAGGCATCTCCCTCTCCGTTGCCGTCAGTGTCTGC